TGCTTGTGCAAAGTTCAACTATCTCGAAATGTCACTATTTCACAAATTAAACCGGTGCACTGAGATNAACATTAAAATATCAGTCATATTTTTCGTTGCTGTGAACTTGTTTCAAAACTTATGTATTTTCCTTAATATAATTTTAAAACTCTGTGCACATTATTTTGAACGTATTTAGGTACATATACTTATCATCAACTATTGCTTGTGCAAAGTTCAACTATCTCGAAATGTCACTATTTCACAAATTAAACCGGTGCACTGAGATAAAGAAGTTTAGAATTAAACAAGCGTGCTAAATTAAAAAAATACGCATATGAAAGGGCACCAACCCAACTCGTAATACATTTAAGTATACAAATTTTAGTATTTAGTAAAGAAATGTTCAATTCAAATGCTCCCATATTAAAATGAAGCGATTTGCAATTACCGATTGCTTTTTCATAATTAAGTTGAAAAAATATTTAAATTCCATGCTGGTTGTAATGGGCATTGAACCTCTGGAAATTAGCAAATTGTGGCAATCATCTTCGCGCACTCAGCTACAGCCAGACATATAAATGTGCATTTAAATGTTGAGTTTGAATCAACACCACGCGTGCGTGTTATGAAAGTACTATTTTTAAATACGAACATTTTCAAACGATAATCAAATAGAAAATATTCATGTTTACTATGTGTTATTTCCCTCAGTGAATTCATAACAATTTTTTGAATATTACAACGCGTGTTTTTCTCTTAGTGTAGTGATTTTTGTACTTTTATTCAAATTTGTGCCATAAAATCAAAAACCGGGACACTTAAACGAAACCAGGGACATTTTAAGGTTGGACCGGGACACCGGGGCAAATAGTCTAAAACCGGGACATGTCCGGGAAAATCGGGACGTCTGGCAGCCCTACCTTAAGGTAAAATATCTTCAAATGCATGCCAAAAGCCAAATGTGCCAAATAATCTTGGTATGGTTGAAATCAGCATGAAAAGCTCTATCGAGTCAAGTTTTTTCTTCTTTTTTTTGACTAAACGGTTGGTATTTAGAATACAGGCTAAACGTGAATAAGTGAAAGTAAACACACAAATGTCAAATTAAACTCCGAGTTTATTAAACACCCCAATGAGAACACTTGACAGTTGTTCATAAACTCAAAACGTTAAATTCGAGTTAATAGGTTTATTCCACATGCTTTCCGCACTGTTTCAGTAATTAGAGCGAAAAAATAAGTTTTCTCTCACAAGTGTCAAAAATTTGGCAACCCGTGCCAAAAGTGCCCAGAGCATGAGGAACGCAAAAAAACACTTTTTGTACCCGGAATCAACAAATTAGTTCTAAACATTTATTTTATGTATGTGTATTTATTTCATATAGCTAATCAAATTAGTAAATATCTATATTACCGAACCTTTAGTGCTATTTTCCATTTTTATATTTTACAAAATTTGGTATCGGATGTAAACAAAAAGGGCTATTATTTCAAATTGACTTCTTGCACATTTCAGCCCGGAAAAAAAATTCTGGGCTGTTTCGGGCACGAAGGAGAAGACATTTACGTTCTAAAAGTGGAAGGTATTCGCTCTCTATTACCCACGCNATGTGTATTTATTTCATATAGCTAATCAAATTAGTAAATATCTATATTACTGAACCTTTAGTGCTATTTTCCATTTTTATATTTTACAAAATTTGCTATCGGATGTAAACAAAAAGGGCTATTATTTCAAATTGACTTCTTGCACATTTCAGCCCGGAAAAAAAAATCCGGGCTGTTTCGGGCACGAAGGAGAAGACATTTACGTTCTAAAAGTGGAAGGTATTCGCTCTCTATTACCCATTTTTCTAGCGTGAGGAACGCTTTCTGGGCTGTTTTGGGTACCCGCAGGCTCGTGTGGAACAAACCTAATATTTCAACGTGAACTTATTGCACTGTAGGGAGCCAAAAATATCACAGCTAAACGGCCAAAGGGGGGAAATTTTAGAGCTCAGAAAGTGAATTTTTCCTCGTTTAACACACTGTTCTCAGGTTGTGATAGCTGATGTTACTTAACTGGGACCTTTTGATTTCAATGGCATCCCCCGTTTTTCCAGATTGGCTCCAGTTTTCGAGATAACGGTACTTGAAAGTCTGCTTAAAGTTTAGGTTTTTCATTGATAATTCCTTCAGTTTTAAAGTTATTTTACTAAAATTTTGCATGTGACTGTTTTTTGATATTACCTTAACTATTTCTGAAAATGATGGAAATCGGTTCACTATAACTTATAGCTCCCATACAACTGATTGTTATAACTCATATTTTATTTCGTTATATTTTTTAATAATTTTAGTTTATACACCATTTAGACTTGAATTTGGGTTCTCTTCAATCCCGTTCTGACATATTTTGGTAGTTTCTATTGCACGAATGTTTTTTTGCCTGCTGCGATCGACCAGCAAAAGTCCGCCAACATTGAATTCAATCGATCCTCAAAACATATAGTGGATTGGTGAAATCCCTCTCCTACCGCGTCGGTTTTTTTTTTTAATTTGGCCAGCCGCTGCAGACTTTCCAAGGATAGTTATACCTCGGCGTGGTGCCTTCCAAACATACTGAAACTTTCACTTATTTCATACACTCAGCGATTAAGTTAACAAATTTCAGCTTCTTGTTTTCTGAGATTTGTCCAACTCATTGATAAACCGAATGGTAACAAAAAACGTTTTTTTTTTTGCCCACCAAAAATGCATCACACTAAGGCACGGAAGACATGTGAATTCGGGAATGTATTTATTTTGTGCAGGTTCAGATGTCAGTGCATTTTTATTTGACACCCCTATTCTGCAATTCTTTCGTATTCGCATTTTGCTACGAATCGTAGAAATAGTATGCTGCAATCCGAATCGTATTTTCGAACTTTCGAAATTCGTAACAATGGCATGCCTAAAAACGAACGAGTAAGCTTTTTTGCGTAATTTTGTACGAAAACAATTCTGTGTCGGAGGCGAAATAAAAGATGTAAATCGATGTGTGTTTACAAGAAATATTGGTGGTGTTCATTTAAACAGATAAATTTACCTTTCGCATATACGTATATTTTTATCCACTGCTTTATATGAACAAGAAAAAAAGAATATTTGTTGCCCCTTATCGAGAAACTTGGGTCCGGTTTAGTTAATGTACAACGATTTTCGGTTGTTGTGTCCAAACGCATAACCCGAATCCAAAAACTTTAACACACACGTGTAATAAAAGGATTCACATTTTATTTAAGATAAATGTTTCAAATTTCCTACCACTAGCTTATTAATAAACTCGGTTTGCACTATGTACTTTTTTGCAAATTTCGACGTGATTTGCACAAGAATACCTTTGTATACCTTTGACATGCGGAAGCCCCTCTTCCCCGCAACACAGAAGTGAGAATTCTACTTAGTAAGGCTTATAATCCCTAAGCGCGGCCGAAGGCAGAAGCAAGCGCAACATGTGGTGGACCTAACAAAATGCATGTTTTCAATGGCTTGGAAGACGCTGTTATTGTATTAACTGGATTGAGAACCAGAGCTTCAGGCATAGGAGGAGTTCTGGCTTGTGGTTCAACAACAATTCAACCAGAAGCTGACATAGTTGCGCCCATGGTGACTATGCCCGACAGCTCCGCATACCTTTGTGAAGCCATTGCCATAGCGCCCTCTTCTCTGCTGCTATAATTGCAAATGTATCAGAACCCATAATTTTCCTCAAAATATATAAAATTAACCAATTTTACAATAAACAAACAAATTATGAGTGCTTTTTATTTCTTTTCCACTTTGTTTTCCTTCATTCAGCTATCTTCGAAAAACAACTGATAGCTGGCAATGCTGCACATGTTCCCGCAAGGGTTGCAACATGTGGAATTACGAAAATTTGGGTTCTAGAGTAAGGGGCTGAGACTAATTTACGCTTGTCTGATTTCAAAGGGAATTTACCATATTTAGGAGTTTCCGAAGACAATGATATAATGAAAAAGTTTTTCCCAAATTTTTCGATGTTTTTTTTTATCAATCAATACGACAGTAATAGCGAGCGTAGAATTTCGGTTTGTGTCAGCCACTTTGACTTTAACGAACAGTAGCTTTCACAGTACAAAAAAGGTAATAAAAACCCATTCATACAATGGAAACTGCCAAAAAATGCATAGTGGCATTGAAAAGTACCCAAATTCAGGTCCAAGTAGTGTATAAAGTAATATTATTAAAAAATATTGCGAAATAAAATGAGAGTTATAACGCAAAGTCACATATCTGAAAAATCAGTTCTATGGGAGCTATATAATATAGTGCACCGACTTTCTTCATTTTCATAAATAGTTAATAGTTTTCATAATAGTAAAGTTATCAAAAGACAGTAACGTGCGAAATTTTAGTAAAATAATCTTAAAACTGAGGGAATGATTAACAAAAAACCTAAAATATAAGCAGATTTTCAAGTACCCTTATCTCAAATACTAGAGCCAACCTTGCGAAATGGGGGGGCGGGCGCCATTGAATTAAGAAGATCCCAGTTAAGTAATATCGGTTATCAAAACCTTTGCGCAGAAAAAAACATCAAAACCTGAGCACAGTGTTTTAAACGAGGAAAAATTCCCTTTCATAACTCTAAAACTTATAAAAATTTTGACCTGATACAGTTTTTCTGAAAACGCCATGGCAATCTAGAGGCCGAAATTAAGTTTACGTGTTTGGCCGTTTAACTGTGGTATTTCAAAACTTTAAAATTTACCTACAGTGTAATAGCAATTCGTGTTTCCGTGTCTGAACACAGACTAAACAAGGATAATCGTAACAGTATATCGATATTTGACAAACATTTCGTAAATCGTGGCAATCTTTTAAATTTCCTAATCAGCTGTTCTGTTGTGATTTTTTCTCCCCCCGATTTTTATCCGACGTTATGTATACCGCGCGCGGATTTTCATTTTAATAAATTGTATGTTCTTTGTTACAAAATGTTAATACATTGTACCTGTTTTAGAGGCACGCTTACGCGGTTAACCAGTCGAAGTATTTTGCAGCATACACTGGTTGGCATACTAAGGACCGTTCCAAGCTACAGAGGCTTCTCCACAGTTCACGCTTATCGCTCGAAATCAAAACAAACCTTTGGGCAACTACTTACGAACTTTGCAACAGTCCGTGGTAATCGAGATATACGGATAGCGCGATATCGGAGTGATTTCAGAAATGCCGCTCCGAAAACTGAAAAAACGACCAAAGTAAAGCTTCATAGAAAGGATGTGGTACGGCTTATTGGATTGGCGAAGACAGAAAAAATGGTGCTTGCTGGTAGTTAATTATGCATAAAAAGAATTAGCATAAAAAGTTTATAAAAAAAAAGTATGCAAATAATTTATATTGCAGGTGCTATGGGTTGTCTAATAATCTCTTCAGCCATTACAATGAGTGTACCTTTTGCGCTAGGCAAGATATTGGACATAATATTCGATAAGAAAGAAACGAATGCGGATACCATGAAGAAATTGAAGGATTTTTCCTTAGTACTTTTTGGGATCTTTGTTATTGGTGGCTTGACAAATTATCTGCGAGTTTACTTATTTAATAGTGCTTGTAAGTGTGCCAACTTATTTTAATTATCAGGCCGATTCTGAACTAACAAATCAAGCTTTTTAAAGCTTTTTGAGGTTAGACCTGTATGGGTGTGCGTAAAAATAAACCGATTACAGCCATTTTAGGAATGTTTGCTTATATTATCATTATAAATATATGGCCAAATGCCGCGAACTCATTACTTTTAATTACATTTTTTTTTTGCGTTTTTGAGGTTAGGTTTGTATGGGAGGTAGGTATGCGTTAAAGTAAATTGATTTTGCTAATTTTTTGTATGTTTACTTACTCTATTATTGTGAATATATGGACGAAATTTCGGAGACCTTAATTCATCGGTGCCCTTGGATGACATTTTTAAGGCGTTTTTAGGTTAGGTTTGTATGGGCGGTGTGCTTTAAAATAAAAAGATCACACCCGTTTTTTTCTTGATTTATGTCCTGAGAGATTACATACGAAAAATTATAGCCCTACGCCTACTCCTTCTAATTTTCTCCAAACAATGTATGAGGCTAACCACTGTGCGCCGTAATCTGTATGACTCTCACTACATGATTGCTGGTAGTGTTCTTAAAAAGGTAATATTCGACAGCCAGTTTTATTTTAATAGTCACAAATTTTATTATTTTGAAGTCGTAGTCTGCTTTAGCCTTCATTAGACGAAATACCTCCGAATTTTCTGATCCATGTACCTTTACAGGGCAGTTCTGGCTAAGAAAGTAAATAGTGTTTTGTAAGACAAATGAAAGACAGATGGCAAGATAGCTCGAAAGACTTTTGTTTTTCAAGCACAAGAGTCTTAGAAAAAAGCTCTCTTATTCACCACTCGTGGTGAAAAGTTATTTTGAGAGAAAGCACTTGTATGTCATTTAGCTCACGCCGCTCCATTGAGTGACGCGGCCAGATCAATCCCACTCAACTGAGTCTGTCCATAGGGAAGGGGGTGTTAGTTGAATGAGGTTTTGAAGGCATGCGAAGACATGTCTCGAGTCGTGGGGTGTCTCTCCGCATGCCGAGCGATGGTTGAGCACATCTGCATCGAACCTGCTCAGGTCAGAATTTAGCCTGCTGCAGTAGCCAGATCGACGCTGGGCAATGGTGGTGCGAGTCTCCCGAGGCAGGCGAAGCTCTGTCTCATCCTTGTCAGGTGATTGTGACCCAAAACGCCATTCACAGGTCCAGAGTCGCTGTAGAGTCGAGACCGACTCCCAGGCCATTTATGGCCTTTCGGTATGCTGTACAGATGTGTTTTTGTAAGTCTGTAGCTTTGTCCACTGCGTCCTGCTGGTTCCCGGCACCAGACGGGCGCTGCATAATTTAGAACTGTCCGGCCCATTGCCTTGTATGTTGGCAGCAACGTTTCCTTGTTTTTGTCCCAGAAGTTGTCGGTTAGTGACTTGAGCATCTTGTTGCGGCTCTGTATTCTATTGATAATTGCGTTGTATGCACGCCATCGACGTGAATTCCCAGCTGTAGTCTAAGCTCCTTCGTCCAGGTCGTAAAAAGGATTGCCGAGCATTTTGCTGGGGAGTGGATTAGGCTCGCAAGTAGAGATAGCGTTCTTCGAGCATGTCATCAGGTTTAAAGCCAACTCGAAAACTGGTAGCGGCGATAGGACACCTCCTTGTCGGACACCTTGCACAATTCTTCAAAAAGCTACTGACGACTGCCGACCACCGTGCCACCGTTTGAATCCATGTACGAGATAGGAGGCCTCTATGTCCACGCTACTAGAAAACATAGAGTGTCGAACGTCTTAGATAAATCCAACACTACTGGTTCTTATCTCCCACAGGGGCGGTTATGGTTAGAGCCACGTTTTATTTGGGAGTTTGTGGCAGGTCAAGGTCTCAAACCCATTTTTAAAACACTCGTTGGGAACCCTCTGAAGTAGAAATGAATCACCTGCTGTACTTTAACGACAACAAGAAAGTTGCTGAATATACCGCAATGAAATACTCAGCAAAATCCCAATGAGTTCTCATTTGAAGCCAAACTTACCTAGAAAATTATTTCGCAGTTGTTTGTCCTATAGACCATAAATTCCCTGAATTATTGAATGGAACCAGAAATTATTTGTTTGTTAAATACACTTGCTCCGTTTTATTCGAATGATTTCATTTGATGCATCATTATTGAGTACTTATTTGCTTATATTTAGACTTGGATAATACATGTGTAATTGATAAAACTGTTGGGTTTACATAGTCTTATGCTAGATTAATAATTTACGAAATAAATTAAGTTTATAGAGATATTAGAATTATTGAGCTTGGTGTGTACAATTCTTTTTAAAATAATACGGCTTATACCAAAGTATAGTTATCGTAAATTTATTAGATACATGATGATGATTGAACTTCTTTATCTTAGTATTCATTTGTGAGTGTATGTATATACATATGCATACTTCATACATATATTTGTAATTAATAATTCTCGTTTCCACTTATTTAGTTATATACATTTAATGAGCAAAGTTATACGGTTCTTGGCTAAGAATTCTAATGGTGGGTTCACAAGGTATCATTATGACAATATGACTGGGTATGACACCTTCTGAATAATCCATAAGTGTACTATGGTTTTTTCTTATACCGAACTTGTTTGTCATGTTTAACACTTTATTGAAAATCGTATATTTATATAACAGTTTCATTAGGCGCATTCTTTTGCAACCGACCAACAAAAGAACACTCGCTAAAATGACGAAATATATGCAAAGCAACAACACAAACTCAGCTATTTATCCGAGTTTACCCAGCTCGATAAAAAAATGCGTGACCTGAAGGGCAGTGTTGTTAAGTGAAAAACTGTTAATGCGAAAGCGGTTAGGGATATTTTTGTTTCCTTATATATGTACATGATTTATATTTTAAATAAGTATATATGTACATATATTATGCAAAAACCTCGGGTAATGACTTATTTCTATTGGTTTTTGTATCTAAATCCCATTAAACGAATCGCATATTTCTTGCTTTGTCGCTCGTTCACAAAAAAAAATCACCTAATGATCCAATGTTTGGCTGCCGAATAATTTTCATTTAATTTCGCAGCGAATAAAACCTAGTTCCAACCTCGAGATGCCGCATAAAAAGCTGGTCAGCTGGTCTGCTGTTCGGAAAATTTACATTTTCACTGACGTAATGGGTAAAATGATAGTAACTGAACACATTTTCAACAGGGTCTATCTGGATTTGATAGAGTGAAATCTGAACTTGAATCGAATCCATTTGTTCTGCGTGACTTTCTTCCCTTTTTAAACACTTTTTTGTTTATCTTATGTCAAAATCTTCAACTGGGAATATGTATGTATGTATGCGTCTGAATAGCTTCGTTTGGATTGTCAAAAGTTTTGACATTTGACATTGTAGAGTTACAAACCTGAAAAGCCAGAACGACTTCAAAAGCAGCAACGCCTGAAAAGGCTCCTGTGGAGCTTTAACTTTACTCTTTAAAAATAATAGGCGGTTAAAAAAATTTGCTTAAAAATTCAGTAAGATTTCAAAAAAATTTTGTGTACATATGTATGTATGTATATTCATAAGTAAAAAGTAGAAATAAAAGAACACACATTATCAAAATAAAATAATAAAAATAATAAATTGGCTCTTACACAATATCGTAGTGTTTGGCCGACCTTCTCATCCGATTTGTAGCGTGCGCCTTGATTTTGTCGCACAAACGGGAGGAACCTTCAGTTTAACGCTGACTCTCGAACGGCGATTGAGTTTTTTTGAGAAGCGGTTTTTCATGGCCGAATACACTCGGAGGTTTGTCATTGCCTGGCGAAAGGCAACCGCTATTAGAAAACAACTTTTTTTTTTATTTTTTGATGTTGGTCGGAAACTGCGCTCGAACCCAGGCCCTGAGGAATGGGCGCGCACTGGAAGTAATGTTGGGTGCGTACTTTCATAAAAAAAAGATTGTGCGCATCCATTATGTGGAAGAAAATGCGCAATACGTTCTTAAAAACTTTTATAGACGTTACCGACAATTTTGTGATCGGAAAATTTTATTACCAAGAAATGTTACCAGTTCTTGTCACCACGATTCTAGGTACGTCGGTAATGCAGTTAAAATATTCAGCAATTCAGCAATTGTGGAAATTCTGGCATTGCATATTTCACGGGGCAAAATTTTGTTACCAGCTTATGACATGGTAACAAAATTTATCGGTTGCAAGAGTACACAGAATGCGAAAAGGGTTTAAAAATTGACAGGAACTTCATTTACCGGTTGCAAAATTTTTATTACCAGCACAGAATAGACCTGTTATTATACTAAAATTTATTGGGCTAAAAAACTGCTATCGAACTGAAAAATTCTGGCATTTTCCAGAGTTCGAAATTAAAAGAATTGATTCTTGTTGTTTTTGTTGTTGAATGAAAAATATATTTATAAAAAATAAGAGAAATTTGTCTTATCGCTCAGACTAGACTCTCACTGTATGTAGAAAGCAAAAAAGTTACATTCTGGTTCATTCCTCCAACAAAGTTCTACATGCGAAACGAAATTTGCATCTTCTTTGGTCAAGTTTAAACCAAGCTCGCATAAATTAAATAAGAATATCACAAAGAAGAAAAAACTATTAATAAAAATTAAAGATGTAAATAAAAAACTGCATTTGCCTTAGTAAATTTCTTTTAGTCGCTGCGAAAACATTCTTTCGCCGTGCAAAAACGTTTAACTCTACAAAAACGGGTTAGTATAACCGCGGCATTAGGTTTCTCCAATTAAAACAACGTAACAAAATGCTGGTATAAAGTTAATTAGTGGTCCTAAGAATACGACAAAACTTCTTAATTAGTATAATATATGTATGTATACCGAAATCCCGAAATTTTGCAATAAAAAATAAAATAAACTTATTCAAACCATAAAAACTAAAAATGAAAAGAAATGTATTTAATTTAGTTCGATAAAGTATTGTAAGTATATTTTTTCGTAGTTTTCTTTATACAA